ATCGGGACTTTACCTTAATGGAGAAACTAGGGTATTATTCCCACCAAATAACATTGTTATAAATAAATTTACTGTCCCCATTGTTATTCTAGGGAACCTTGCTTACCCTTTGTTGCCATGGCTTATAAAACCATGCCCAAATTTCAGAGGATCTGGCCAAAAAAAAAGGTTTCATTGCACACTCAGTTGCTGTAGGATGGTGATAGAATGTGCATTTGGCAGACTGAAATCCCATTGGTGCTGCCTTCAAAATAATTTGGGCGCCAATGTCATAAATACAGTCTGCGTTATTGTGGCTTGCTGTGCCCTACACTGTTGGAAGACCGGATACTGGGCTAGACGGACCATTGGCCTGACCCAGTATTGCCATTCTTATGCTATAATATTTGTGAGGAGAAGGGGGAACCTTTTTGCCAGGAGCGGACTCAGGACATTTCAGAATATCTGAACTGGTATATACAGCCAGACAGTGCACCTGTCATGACTGGTGCTGGATCCAGATGCACAATGGAAATCAGTGAGGCTTTGTGCACTCACATAATTCATGAGGGGGAATGAAATGCTAGATGAAGTTGGGTGTGTGATATTTTTGTAATCATGTAGGTACTGTGCATTATGAATTCTGTAAGGACGTTTATGAAGTTTATGAAGGTATGTTATGCATTTTATCAAACTGGCAATGGACTGCCATGCACAGTTTATGAATTATCGTAATGACAATTTGTAAATTTTTATTATGAAACTTTGCCATTGGGTATGAGATGACATACATTAAAGTTTGTGCCCCTGGTATCATTGCATATAATAAAATTTGTTCTGGTCATTTTATGTGCAAATCCAACATTTTATTTCACACAGGTATTTAAATGTTGCAACAATCAGTAATGCAGACCAGCTGCCATTATGGTGTGCAGCACAATAGTATAACCTAACTTTGACCCCAAAAAACCCACTCAAAAGGTACATGTTGGCCTTTCTGGAACATTTTGGATGTGCAAGATGCACCTGAACAGGAGAGGATGAGTGCACAGGGTGCATCTGTCTGTTCCATGTGCCAGTGTTTGCCTGTGACATGCTCCAGTCACCTCCTGAATCATCTAACTCTAAAGGATGGGTGCTCTGCAGGGATCGATAGTGGTAAGGGGACTAGGGCTGTGGGTCTGGAGCAGAAGACACTGGTTGGTACTGGAGCCTGCAGTATGGTAGCTATCAGCTGCAGTAAGTACTTGAACAGCTACTTCTGCTGCGCTCTATCTTCTTTCCTCAACCGGCCATCATGCTCGATGAATCTGTCTGCCATTCTTTCCTTGCGCTGTGCAGCCTCTCTCTCTCTCTTTCTGTCTTTCCACCCTGAAAGCATCTTTATCTTTTTGGTAGTCGAGCTGGGTCTCCTGGACCTGGATCAGCTGATTCAGCCCGCTCATCTTAGGCTCTTTCTCTTCCCCTGCTATAGATGGTCTGCAGACCCAGGCTCCTGGTGCCATGTGTTATCCCTGTGGCATTGAAAGGAGAAAGAACATTATTTTCTGAGCATGGTAAAAAAAAATACATTTCACAGTTTATTAAAGGAACTACTACTTTCATTCATGGTCAAAAGATGCATACTTTTAAATCAATGGGCTGTATTCTACTCTATTTACATAAAACACTGTCCACTTCAGAAATCCTTTGGAACAGCAATGAAAACCAGAAGACATGTTAAGACACACATACAAAATCTAATTACTTCTATATCCCCCTTTTTGGGAGGGAGGTTGGAGTCTATGAGGGGAAGTTTGGGGTGGGGGAGGAGGAGAGACAACTTATGAGTGATCTAGTTACAAGCAATGGATTATTCAATCCTGTCAGGCAGGGCAAGCTCTGGAGGTCTCTGATAGCCATCTGTGCTAAGGAACTATTTCAGCATCTAGTGACTGAATACCACATTGCAGAATGGAGAGGGGTCCTCATCACTTATAGAGAGGGACCTAATAAGTATGCCCTGTCCTGGAACATAACAGACTGTCTGGAGTTCCTCTTCCATGAGAGGTCTACTTTGATCACCAGCCAGAAATGGTGAAAATTTGTGATAAAAATCAACAAGACACTGAATTTGCATGAAGATGCAGTACAGCCTCCTTGTTAGCACCTTGTATCCATGCAAATACCTGACATAGGATTCCCAATGAATGGCAGTAAGACTGACATGCTCTGCTGTAGTTTAGACTCACGCGTTAAAGCCCGCAATGGACCAAACACACACCACAGTTTTGTTTGGACTCATAACAGCCCAGTTTTTTGGGAATCAATTCACAGGCATTTGGGAATAGTTTGTTCACAGACGATTGATAAAATGCGCTGTATTGCATGGGAGGGGTATGTGAGGCTGTGAATTGTGGAGCACCAACCCATATACATACACCAATCAGCGAGTAACTAGTAAAAATTTCATAACTGGTTGTGTAATTTTTTCCTCCTTTTGCTGTGTCCATTTTGAATCCAATGTGGCAGTGTGGAGAAGGTGGATGGCGGGCCCTAAGGGGAATGGCATGGGTCCCATCCTGAATGAAATGCACAGAAATCCTGGGTTGTATTAATAATTTAATAGGCTCATAAGCTGGAAATCCTTCCCTATCATATACTAATAAAAACAAATATGGCAGCAGAAACTTACCAAGCTCCGGCGCTTGTTCTGATGCCAGGTCTGCAGGGTACTGCTCCACAGGGCTGTCCCCAAAAAGGTCCTGTGAGTATGGACACACAATGTGCTGTAGCTGCTCCAGCACCATGGCTTCTTCGGTTACGGGTCTCAGCTCCAGTGTGACTTCCTGCTCATTATCTGGCAGCTTGCTCTCCTCAGGTGGTGCCTGTAACATGGGGGTTATAAGGTCGCCATTGTCACTCAGCAATGTCATGCACCACTGGGGCTCAGTGCAGTTCCCGGTACATGGCCAAATTCCTTGTAAAAGAGAGAGGAAGACAGGGGAATTCCCAGAATTGTCATTAGCATTCTTGACTTTCTGGTAGTCTGTCTCAGCCTCTTGATCCACCTTCTGCATTGATCTGCCGTCCAGTCAATCTTCAATGCTGCCAGTTCCTCGTATATTGTTTTATATACGTGGTTATTTCTCATGCTCTTACCGAAGTCAAATGTCTTGCTTGCCTCACATCAGAGGTTAACTAGAATCCGTCTGCATTCCTCTGGCCAGCTAGCCTTGCACTTGATGCAGAACTTCATCTTGCTGCTGGCCACAGCAAATACACGAGTTCTCACTGTATTTGTATTTGTTGTTTCCGGGTGAGCAGTCCACATGGAAATGAAGGGTTAAACATTGAGCAGCTGTTTTTAAACCAGGAAGTTGCTTCCGGTTCCTGGGAAACGAGTTTGGAATTGAAGGTTGGGAAGTAAAGCCCCAGGTGATTCAGGGATAGTGCTGGCGGACTCTCCAGAGACAAGTCTGGTGACTCAGACTTGAGCTGCATCCACAATGCAAAATGCTTGGGCTCTGAACCACATCACAGTGGGATTCGGGCTCTTACCCTCCCCCACCTCCCCAGCAGTGTCCACTGGACTGAGTCAAAAGGGGTTATTGGATCAAGCCAAACTAATTTCTGCATGGACGGAAGGGGTCTTGGCTTCGAATCCAAGTCTGAGACCTAACTTAGTATGCTGTATAGACGTACCCATAATTGGCACAAACAGAGTAAAAAGTAAATGTGCATATATCGCTGTGACAGAATGTATCCGTGTCCACACCCTACACTATTGTAATAATTTTTGTATAAGATGGGTCTTGTAAGGTACCATCTGAAAACTCATAATTTGCTGGCCAATATTGTCCTGATAAAATGTGTGGCAACAGTGTATATGAAGTTATAAGATTTCCCCGTACAATGTTATTAACACATATTCCAAACTAAGTTTGGCAAACAGGTCTGTCTCGAACAAGAGAATGTGTGTTCTGCTTAATTTGCATTTAACCAGTAAACAGAGTCATCAAGCAGGAAGGGAGTTCAAACAGATGGGAAAACTTGCAGGGAATATCCTTACACATAGACACACAGTCTTCTGAATCTCAGATGAAAATGTTTTCCAAGAGGGGGACTGACACTATAAGCATGAGGAATAAATGCCCCAAGGGACCCCCCCTTCTCTCTTCCTATCCATCAATTCACCACATGAGAAGGGACAAAAGGAAGCAGCCATTAAACAGAAGAAGGGGTCCTGATCTATGAAGTTTGGCCTGTAAGACTGCTGAGAGAGCATGTGGTGAGAAAAACTTTGCTTTGAATTTAACAGTTTGTTAAGTTAGGCACTAGTTTTGTTTTATCTTTATTTTTCTTGTAACCATTTCCAACTTATGCCTCATTACGTGTATTCACTTCAAATCTCTCTCTTTGTAGTTATTCTACTGTTTTATCTAATCCAATATGTTTAAATTGAAGTGTCTGATGAACTATTTGGCATAATAAACTGGCATATCATCTTAAAGAAGTAACAGATTTAACATATTTGTATTGTCTAGGAGTGGGCTGAGCAGTACAGGAAATATATTTCTGGGGGGGAAATCTAAGATTGGGAGTGAGTTGGGGTCACCCTGTACTATACCCAAGACTGGTAAGAGCCAAGGTGGGGCTGGCTGGCTGCAGCTCACACACAGACACAGCTGGGAGTGACTTACATGCTGAATGCTGTTTGTGATCAGTCCAGTCTGGAAGCTATAGCAGCAAAGCAGTGTAAAGGGTACCCAAGGTAAGAGGGCAGGAGTGAAACTACTCATTATTATAGATTGCACCATGGCTATGTCACAACTTCCTCCAAACTGTATGTGGGCAGAGCTAAACCAGGAGATGGAGCACACTGATGGATGGACACTCGTCTAGGAAAAGTTCTTTTTCAGGGGGTTATGCCGAGTGATGATGATGAAGTACTCAAAAGCACAGCTCCTGGGCTGCTGAATACCCAAAGGGCTCCTGATTACTGCCATAACACCTATCCTCTACAGAGATTATGCTCTTACCATATGCTTCTTCAATAAGAGCACAGTAGGGATTAATGCCAGTGCCACTACGCTTGGCTTCCTGCTCTCCAAGCCTCAGGATGTTCTCCAGCCCATTCAGTGCCACCTGCACAATCTTTGAGTCCATTACTGTAAGGAGGTCACAGAGCGGTTTGATACATCCCAGTTCTACTAAGTATCTGAAAAACACCATACACAAACATGGTCAATCATTTGGATTAAGGTAACCTGTGTAATTTATGAGGCCATACTGTCCAGTGTTTAGTGTAGAGGACTGAGAACCAAAATAACTAGGTAAGATACTAACTCACTTGGGTAAAGTATCATCTATGTGGGTCTCCACCAACTCAGCTTTAAAAACGTAGAAATCGAGACTGCATTTGAGCAGGCTGGCTCGGGGGTTGGAAATGGGCCTTTGAACCATTCTTCTCCAGTTATGAGTCTGGTGCAGGTTTATTGGAAGTTGTTACATTCGGATTGTGATGGCCTCTGTGAAATGAGCTGGAAGGTGAAGGTGAAAGGAGAGATATTTCTGTTACAAGCACCAGCTTCACAATTGGTTCTCTTGTGGGCACTCTCAGCCAAGGCCAAGGATTGAATGGACAATTTCATAACTGAATTCACCTCTAGAAGTGGTCTCTGACCACTCCAGAGGGGTGAGATACATTGGAAAGAGACAGCATAGGGAAATTGGGCACTTCAACTGTCCGTTCTCAAGAAAGAGGCTTTCCAGATCCAGGGTTCTTAGTATGGTACCTTTCACATAAACATTAAATCCATTTAAACATTCAGAGCAATTTTCACTGCTACTTACTTGATCTGTTCAGCAGAGCCTCCAGATGTTGCATTTGTTATTGCCCAAGCAGCTTCTTTCCTTGTCCGAAATTCAGCTGTTTGCAAAATATTTATGAGGGCTGGGAAAATGTGGGCATCTATGACGGTCTGCAAAAGGAAATGACACACAAGTTAACTGTGTCAACTACAAATAGAAATACAACAAAAATCATCCACTGGGACGGAGGAAGGATTAAATTTAACCACGTAGAAATAGAAAAAGAACTTAAGGGTTACTAGGGCACCTCATTTTTTGCATGGAATTTTCTAGGAATCCAACACAGCATGACCAATCATTGAGGCAGGAGCCCTTGCTTCATTCCATACACATATTCAGAGACTATTTCCAACTAACCCTATGAACTAAACCTGGAATTCTACTCAACCTTCTTTTATTTTTTTTTTAAACAAGCACATCCAAATCCAGTGCTGAGGGATGGAAAAACTCAGCCTTAGCTCTGACTTTTCTGTCAGAGTCTTCCCAGTGGGGATGTTCCCAATCTCTACAACAGCTGGAGGCAGACCAGATCTTTGGCTCTGAGCATGGGCTTAGGAGTGTCCCTCAGGAAGAACTCTCTAGAATGATAGCTTTCAACGAAGGGAAATACTAACCACATACATGTTATAAAGTCCTATTCAAGTGAAACCATTTGCAGTATGGTCTTGACAACAAATTTAAATATTTTCTCTAGGAACACACACTTCCCTTTCAAAATTACTTAACACATGAGCAATAATCAGAAAAACTCTGGACATAATGCAGTCACACAAGGGAGCCTGACAAAAGTTTCTAGAAAGAAAATTCACAAAGAAAGACTGATATTTTTCATTCTCCATCCTCACCACATCAGACAGCCTTCATAGTGGATAGCAGAAAGCAGTAAAATCATCCATTGGGATGGAGGAAGGATTAAATTTAACCATGCAGAAATAGAAAAACTTAAGGATTACTAGGGCACCACATTCCATAACACCCTTCTACCAATCCCTGCATCTGTAAAGGAGAGAATGGGAATGGAAGACCATACAGTGGTCCTGCAGATCTCACTGTAAGATCTCTCTGCCCATGATACCATTGCTCTTTTCGTGAAGTGAATAGCAACATTCTTGAAAATGTTTTGCATCAATATTGATGCAAAAACAGTAACATTATAAACTTGCCTTTACTGAATTTTATGATACTTTCAATTATGTTCATTGAAATTATGCTTAAACTATGCCAGCTCATATGCCCACGTTTTTAGTTGGTTGCTTCTGTGATGTAAAAGGGTATAAACTAATAAAGGATTCCTAAGAATTTCTTTCGTTTTCTGTCATTGAGGGTAGGTCTACACTTCAATCCTGTTGGAGACCACGGGATTGTACTCAGGGCATCTCCATGGCTACACTTTATTTTTAGTGCACTAGACCAATCAGAGCTAGTGCGAGTATGTCTCCTTGAGCTGAGAATTACAAGTTTGAAGTGTAGACATACCCAGACATATCTTGAGTAGCAGGCATATACCTAAGGCTTTGAAAATATCAAAGATGAAAACTCTCTAGAAAAAAAAATCTATATTTGTGACCTCCAAATCCATTTACACGGAGAATGCAACTTTACAACCTCAGTTTTGCTTCTAACATATATATTATATTAAAAAACATGCATATAAATAACTGTAATTTGTACCTTGCACAGAATATTTGATAGGAGTCTTTAACTGCAAACTATAAAGGTAATTACTACAAATACACCGCTACCTCGATATAACGCGACCCGATATAACACGAATTCGGATATAACGTGGTAAAGCAGTGCTCGGGGGGGAGGGCTGCACACTCCGGTGGATCAAAGCAAGTTCAATATAACGTGGTTTCATCTATAACGCGGTAAGATTTTTTGGCTCCCGAGCACAGCTTTATATCGAGGTAGAGGTGTAATAAGGTATACATTTAGGAGCAATCTACTTAAAAAAAAAAAAAAGGTCTTAAAAAAAACCAGGACACATTTTCCTTGTTTAAAGACTTTCAGTTTGCCAGGCACACCATCTCTATTTCAAGAAAACATCCTAAAATATTTATGTTTTAGAATGAGATCTGCATATGAAAATAAGCCAAAGATTTTTTTTTTTATTTAAGGTACTCCGAAAAGAAGTGGTGTGCCGAATGTATTACCAAAGCCATAAAACATAAGCTTAGGGCCTCTATTGCTTTCTAAACTCTCTATCCCCTTCCCTCCTCTCTGCAAAGAGAAAAACCTTAGTTTTGTTTAAAAACACATCTCACTAACAAATTTTCCTAGAAATTCTTATTAAAATTAACTTTTTATAAACACTTAATCATTAAAAGAATGAAGACTTTAAGGGGAAAAATTATAGTTGGGAAATGTTTAATAGAAGTTATTACTTAACTCATGATTCCATTTAAAGGTGAAAACTTCTTTATTCTCCCAAATATTTAAAATAGAACAAGCTTTTAAGTTATTTGTAAATATTCTGTATTTAAATGGAAGCATTTTATATGACAGTTCCCTGATATCATTGCTAAGTGAACAGTGTGATTCAGCAGTGCCAGGGAGCAGTGGGAGAGTGGTCCTATTGGGTTCCTTAAAGGGCCCTTCCGAAGACTTAGGGGAGGATCCACAAGTTCCAGGAACTCAAATAATTACCCCGAGGGGGGGGGGCAACAAAAATGTAACAGGGGCAGGTGTGAAGGGTCAAACAAAGGGTACCTGAAGGGGACACCGAGCAGAGAACCCCAGAGAGCGCTCACTGCTCCTTGAAGGTGTCAAGGGAGCCGGCAGATGACATCCAGAGGAACTCTGCAAAAGGGGCAGGCATCAGGGATGGGGGTGAACCACGCCAAGTACACGCCCGTGCTCACGGCTCAGTGGAGGAGCCACCAACTAATATCCCCAAGGGCCTTGGGACTAGGGTAGAATATAGGCTGGCCCACCGGGGTTCCTCACCCTCAACAAGTGGCAATAGGTCCTGCCACTTCGTATCGGGACAGGACATGAAGGTGAGGAAATGAAGAATGTGAATCACAAGCATGGGCACAGATGTTTCCTCGGCATGGTACGGAAGTAAACTGGCTGCAAATCGTGCAGCTGGCTTGCAGTGAACGGGTAGGACGGTCGGGGGGGGGGGGAGGTCACGGGGCAGGGGCCCGATGAAAAGATCCGGAGGGCGTGGAGTGTAGGGTGGGCAGGGAGAACCCTCCCGCAGGACACGGTCGAGGTAAACCCAAGCAGCGGGCAATAAGGCTGCTCTCACAACCCTTTGTACTCCACAGGGCATATTTCAGGAGGAGAGCCCCATGCGCTGAGTGAACATCAGGGGATCCACCCAGTCTCCCGGGTCGTAGTCCAAGAGGTCTCCAACGTTGGTGACTTCTACCAGGACCAACCTCTGGCGTACCGAGGGGGACTCTGCCACCTGCACACGAAGTTGGGGATTGTGTAGCAGGGGCTCTGCGAGGAGATCCGCCCCCTTGGTAGCTGCCACGGACCTGATCACCGAAACCAGCTTCCAGGTCTGGAGGAGGTCCTGGTAGTAGACTGGCAGCCCAGAGAGGTTTCGCGGAAGATAAAGGAGCTGCCGGTCATATCGAAGCCCTCGGAGACGGTGGAGGAAGGTGTGCACCAACATGCTCCAAGCCAGACTACCTGCACCATAAAGGAATCTCTGCAAGGCCAAGAGGCGGAAGACATGGACCTGAGTGTGCAAGCATGTCAGGCCCTGTCCTCCCCCCTCCAGGGGGAGATGGAAAACCCCCGCAGAGACCCAGTGCAGTCCTGGCCAAAAGAACTCCAGAACCAGCTTCTGAATATCAGCCAGAAACCCGGGGCTGGGACCAGGATGTTGAGCCGGTGCCAGAGCATGGACAGGACTAGCTGGTTGAGCAACAGTGCCCTCCCCCGCAGGAAGAGGCACCAGAGTTGTCCCATCCACCTCGGCAGCCACTCAGACACCCTGCCCTCCAACCCCAGCCAGTTCTCCAGAGGAGAAGGATACGCGGTAGAAAGGTAAATGCCAAGACAGAGCAGCGGACCCGCGCTCCATCGTATGGTTTGAAGTGCAGGTGGGAGGGAGCTCGCTGGCCACCCATCCCCGACCACAAGGCCAGAGGTCTTGACCCAGTTGACTCGGGCGGAGGAGACTGCCGAATAGATGGCCTGGCACGTCTCCAGCAGACCCAGGTCGCCCGGGACTTGGACCACAAGCACATTGTCGGCATATACCGACAGGACCAGCCGCAACTCTGGCTTACGGAGCACCAACCCCATCAACCTCCAATGGAGGAGACAGAGGAAAGGCTCAATCGCCAGAGCATACAGCTGGCCTGACAGCAGACACCCCTGATTCACCTTGCGCCCGAAACTGACTGGCTTGGTCAGGGTCCAGTTGAGCCTGACCAGACACTCCGCGGAGGCGTACAGCACCTGGAGAAAACCTACAAACTGGGGCCCGAAATCAAACACCCACGGCATGCCCAGGAGATACCGGTGGTCCACCCTGTCGATCGCCTTCTCCTGATCCAGAGACAGAAGGGTGAACGACAGACCACCCCCACACCCGAACTCCAAGAGATCCCAGACCAAATACAGATTGTCAAAGATGATACGGCCCGGGACGGTGTAGGTCTGGTCGGGTGGACCACGTCTGCCAGCACGGACCCCAGCTGCAGCGAGATGGCCTTCGCTACAACCTTATAGTCCATGCTGAGGAGTGAGATGGGATGCCAGTTCCGAAGGTTCATAGAATCATAGAATA